GGGGACAAGATCCATTTTAAAGCGCCCCCTTTTTTTTTTTTTTTTTTTCAACTTTCAAACCCATTTTTTTTTTCAATAAAATAATATCAAAGCTCATTTTGGCGCCCCTAACTAGTTGGCGCCTGGGGACAACTGTCCCCCCTTGCCCCCCTCGCTACGCCTCTGGCGGGTAGCGGAGTTGCTAGGCTGTCCACAAAACTACGGAGAGTCCGTAACAATTTGACCTAAAATGACTTTCCCGTAAATGTCCGTAAACAATTAGACATGGTAGGCATTCACATTTATTTTTTGAAGCGAACCCAAATGGGATATCGATCTTTCTCTCCCTTCTCTTTTTTGTTTTCTTTTCTTCCAGCTTGTATGATCATAATCAGGAGCAACTTAATAAACACTGAAGTGAATAGGAGCCAAAATGATCAATAAATTGATCGTGGGCCCTTAAGATATAGAAGAAGAAGAATGCTATGCTGCCTATACGAAAAAAAAACGCTATAAGATTGCCTCAGCCCTCATGGTCCAATGACACCATCTTAACATAGGCGTAGGAATGTGTGTTTAGCTACGTGCGCTTATTTTAAATTAAAGAGATGTCAATTAAAAATGTTGGTACTCCACCACCCATCCCTCTGGGCGAGCGTTCTCAAGTGGTGGGAATTCGAAACCTTGAACTTAATTATTTGAATCGTCATAGAGAACTTTTAAGGTCAACCTAAGGCGACAGATAAACAATATCATAAACGGGTGGGCTTGCATTTAAAAATGATTGTGGATAAATTGAGCGACTGGGGATTTGGGGGCTAATGTATAGCAACATTTTCAGAGGTGTGGGGTTCAATCCCCACCAAAGCCCAAGCACCTTGGGTGGATGGAACTCGTTAGCCTTGGACGGCAACTCATCTAAGAAAGAGAAGGCAAAACTCTGACTTCAAACCAGGAGCCAGAATGATCAATAAATTGATCGTGGGCCCTCAAATATAAGAAGAAGAAGACAATTTGAGACTTAGCGAATTTTAAAAAAAAAATTTAAAAACTCAAATGCTCATCATACAAGTGTGGACACGGGATGGGAAAATGTTGCGGAGAGTCTTTTGTTTTCTTAAAATCGTCCGAGATCCCGAGAGAGAAACCCTAAACGGCAGTCATGAAAATGTTGACGGCTCCAGCCTAACCACTATGTGACCTCAACAGAATTTATTTGCATCGAACAATCCATTATTTTACTAGACTACGCTACTGTCGTGTTCAAATTTAATTAATGTGTTGCTTTTTTTTTTACTTTTAGGTTAGTGTCTCCTGCCGTGTTATGTGAATCTTTCAATTTTAAATAACATAAAAAAATATTATATTTTCCCTTCTTCATCAGGAGTACAGGAGAAAGTAATACAGAATTGAGATGAACCAAATAAATTTACCAGTTACAGCCCTTTGGTTTTTGTGTGCGTCACTTAAGTTCTCGTCGGCACGTATTGATGGAAAACGGGAGGCATTTAATTTATTAGTAGCAGTGCCTCCTTTCTGGACTAGACCTGTGTTGGTAAAATACATACATTTCATATGTGATATGATTTCTGTTTTGTATTTATATAGAAATCCACTAGTTCCTATCGAGTAAATCAAGAAGTCTCAAGTGAACGTGTTATTATGAATGAAGCTATGTCCTTGATCCTTGTCAAAAAAATGTATAGACAATATTAAGATAATCAATAGAAATTCTGTGGGGTTTTTTTTTTAAGCTTTCGTTTATTCAAATTCTTTTTTTTTAAAGTTAGGATCACGCAAAACTAAAATATAGAATTAATTTGAATAAACTTATCAAGTGACATTACTAAAACTTAAGGAGGATAAGTTAGGAAGTCATTAACCCCCAGCCGCCCCCCCCCCTTTTTTTTTTCTTCTCTCCATTAATTACAAAAATTAATACATCTTTAAAATGTGTTGAGGACCTGATATTAATCAAATAGCTTGTGCCAGCATAATCAGATTATTTATTTATGCCAAAATTTGCATTTTTTTTCTCCATTGAGTTATTTTAATGTCACTTACTGTGTGACAAATTAACTACTGTGATAAAACCAATTTATGAGAGATTATTTAAGAGTTTATATGCATTTTTACACTACACCATCACACACATTAAATCAGTTCCTTGTTTTTTTAAACATACTTTTTTTTTTTTTTTACAAGGTGACTTGTCCAATTCAGGTCTGATTCTCTCATTCCTTCACAATTGGCTACACTAGGCTTGATTATATCAGTTATGATTTCAAGGGTTCTCAGATAATTTCAATCCTAAACAACTAAAACAATGTGGATAACAACATTAGGTTACATTGAATTGAGGGAGTGGTAAGGTTTCTGTTACAGCCAAAACTGTTGTTTGAAAATGGGTGTTACATGTTACTCATCTGTACTGCTATAAGGTTTACATTTGCTTTCCTATAGCTCTGCTAGAATCTGAGAAAATTAAAATTCATTGACATACGCTTTATATTAGATAATTGGGATACTGATTTATTTTGTACATTTTTTGGCATCATACTTCCGAAATACACAATATCTGGTCATAGCTTTAAATTTCAAATTAAAATACTTTTTTTTTTTTAAATTTTAAATATGAAAAGCCTTTTCTTATCAAATTCTATGAAATTTTTAAGAACTTTATTCTTTAAAAATTAATTATAAAATTCTTAAAAAATAGTTTGCAGTATTAACTGACAAAACTTAAAAGGCTGTATGGTTATCCTACTTATTTGTGGATAAAATAACTCAAATAAGGAGGCCAGCCTTATTTAAATGGTAACATGAGTTCCATTCCCTTTATAAAAACAATATCATGTCAATACCAGAAACTGCGAAGATAAGTTATGTATAGATGAAAAATAATTGGTCTTTTTCTTTTAAGTGATAGGTTAAATGGAACGTTGGTGATGAAACTAATATACTAACAAAAAATGAAAAAATACAAGGTATATATACGTAACCCAATTTTATTAAATCACTCTACAAAAATTATAAGATTTGGTAACAGATCAGAGACATGTAAATAAGACTAGACTAAATATGAGGTCAATATATAAAGATACAAGTCAATAACAGTAACTTTGGTGTGTTAAGTATAAATGGCAGTAGGTACAAGTCATAAACACTGATGCAGCCGAGTGCTTAGAATTAAAGCACAAAAACAACATTAATCCAGTGGCTTACTTACCAAACAAATTAGTTAAAAGCCCAAAGATATTTTTTTTAAGTGCCCAAATTTTGTGCTTGTAAAAATAAGTAAATAATATCAAAATTTTGTAATTATTTTCTGCACTCTTATCATTAGTTTCTTTTTTTTTATTGTTTCTTTTTTGCTCAGAATTTGAAAATGTAACTATTAATATATTTTGGAATAGGTAAATGGTTTTCCAAAAACTTTTGTTATAATAAATGGCCTTGAGACTAAGGTGTGTGTGACACTCTGCCAAGTAGCTATGCTCAAACTATCACTTTTTTAAAATTTTTAAACCCTGAAAACCTTTAAGAAAGGAAATATGAACAAGAAGTTAAACATGAACAGGAAATAAAATATAATCTATACATTGGTGTAAATATATACAAAAAAAACAGGTTAAAGGAAAAATAACACTTTTCAACCCTGATGTCCAAATTAAAATGTAAAAATTTCAAAACACTTAGAAGCGGTAAGCAATTTTCTCTAAATCTTCTTAATTACCATAAACCCTTTAAGACTAATTTAGCTTAACTGGTTAACTACCATGAGCCGCTGGTAGCACCAATGTTATTATCGTAGTAAATCGAGTCAAATATTTATATTATTCCGTTCCCGTTTCGCCTCGAGATTTTAATTTACCGACCGGATGTTTATATTCGAAACGCATGCTACCGGCAGAATGTTTTAAAAAACGAAATGTTAATTATATTAGATTTTATTTCTTAGCTAGTTACAAAATAGTATATGCTTACCGCGGCAACAACTGGCATGGCTACTAAAGGCAAATAAGTGATTGGAAGTGTAAATATCATTCAATTTCTGTGTTCTTTGGTGCATTTTTCTTATTATTGGATAAACTATTTGGAAACCACTAAATAAAAGGCTTTAAATTATTTAGAAATTTAAAATTTATACGTAAGTTGGCACATTTATATTTTTTGGGGTGTTTTTCTGTGGTAAATACTAATTTTTAACAGATAATAATTTCCTAACCAAACTTAACTTTACAAATGTTTTAATTTTATCTTATGGACAATTCAATTACCTACAAAATGGTTAATTAATTATTGGAATATGTTAATAATTTTAAAAAGTACAGTTGAATTTGTACATACAAATAAAATGAGAAAATTTGACCTAGATTTAATTCGGCCACAGCCGGTTTTTTAATCTGGTAGTTAATCAGTTAAGGAAAGTGCACAATATAAATTTTACACATAACAAAATAAAAATGCTGCCAAATTATTAACAATTTCTTCAAAAATAAAAATTAAAGTATCCAAATATACTTTTGGCAACAAACAAAACAGCATTAGGTGAGTTTAAATGATCATTTTTATTGGCTTAAGTTAAGATTGTCTAATCTGTTAGACACCAAACCTTAAAGAGAGTGTCGTGAACACATTGTGGGGGGAAGTAGCACCATACAAATGTCAATAGAATAGTTTATATAACTATATCATTATGGTTAAACAATGGATATATATATATATATATATATATATATATATATGTATATATGGATATATATATATATATTTATATATGCATATTGCTGTATCTTAGGATAGAATCATTTATGAAGACTAAAAAAAATTGTCTAATCTGTTAGACACCAAAACTGAAAGAGAGTGTCGTGAACACATTGTGGGGGGAAGTAGCACCATACAAATGTCAATAGAATATTTTATATAAATATATCATTATGGTTAAACAATGGATATATATATATATATATATATATATATATATGTATATATGGATATATATATATATATTTATATATGCAGACTGCTGTATCATAGGATGGAATCATTTATGAAGACTAAAAAAAAAAGAAATTACAATTATTTGATAGTAATAATAAGTGACTATATCAGAAGTCTTTGAGATATCAATTTTTGTATTAATGTTTCTTCTTTTTATATTACGGTATATAATTTAAGCATCTGAAACTAAAAAATATATTGAGTAGCAAATCATAAAACTACAAAAAATAACATTGGTTACTTTATTTAAGGTTGATCTAGATAACTCCAAGCAAATAAAACAAACATTGTGATTCCATGTTAATTCACTGGTTCATCTCTTGTAAAGCTCACTTCTGTTACAGTTAAATCATGTTACAGTTACAGATGAGACTTTTTTCCCCAATCCTGTTTTTTTTTCAACTTTATAATGCCAGATGAAGAACAATGGGACAATGGTCACTTCCCATGACTTTGCTACGGATAACACTGTCGCAGAGATTTTCCTTGAATCTTTCAGAAAGGACAAAGTAGTCAAGACGCCTGTAAGGAAATGCAATATAATAAAAAAAGTGTTCAATCATAATTCTTACTACAACAGAAACTATAAATATATTTTCACACACTTTCAATGTATAATCTACAATATAGGCCATTGCTCCGCAACTTTTTTTAAACTCACAGCACACCTAGACCTACCCTCCCAAAATTTCCACGGCCATCACAATTAAAACATGAAAGAAAAAATACAACTTATTTACGTTTGTTTACACCACATGAACCAAAACTTTACATGTTTTTTTTCCTTCTTCTTATAAAAGTGAAATTAACATGAGCCATAAGATCTCTTAAATAATGTGATCTAACATAAAATAATGTTTCGCTTTTTAAGAGCCAACATAAAAAAGAAATATAAGGAAAATATTATTTTTAAACTTCATACATAAATTAAAAGTTTTAAATTAAACTATAAGTAATGAGACATTTGCATCTGTTTTCTAAAAATAGTTGCTTTATATTTTGTTCAGTATCTGATTCAGCAACTCGAAGCTCACCCAGACCAACTATCATTTTTTAAATTAAAACAAAAGTCGAAAATACCAGTGGTTGAAATTGTAGCAGAATTGCCATTGCCTCTTTAGAAATTCTAGGATATTCTCCCTTGACTGACACATCCTTTGAAACTTAAGTGAACTTTATTTGAGTGCCACATCATTCCTCAAACAGTACAGGCGGGAAAAGACTGGGATCAAAGGCCAAAGCGAAAGGGATATATTTTACTGACTGGATAAGATGATGGCCTGTCATGCAAACAGCCAAAAGTCAACAAACAGATGCTCTGTGCTCTTTGAATTCATGGACTGTTAATTAGCCAATCGTTTGTCACTTTTTGTTTGAACTGTGTATCATCTTCACATGTTTTTCCTTCTCTGGAAGGAATTTCGCTGTCACACACTGGTTTTGGAGCTCTGATATAGACTACATCTAAATAACATGTCTCATTTGTTTGTGTTTTACTGACAACACACATTGTTGCACAAACAATAATATAATAAGGCTTACGAATTCAATCCAGAACAAATTTTGAATCCTCAAACTGATTTAGTTTGCAAGGATCATGTCTTAATTACTTCTTTTTCCTTTAAACTATAAGCTATCAAAGTAAAATAAACCCATTCCTCATTAACTTCAGTTTATTTCTATTATAAGGTTTAGTTTTATTAATAAAGTCATTTCAAGTTTTACTTTATTTTATACTGATAGATATTCAGTTTGAAAATGCAATAATTACATAATTTAATATGGTGGTAGCTTTAAATATATAATTTTAAGTCACAAAGTACAATTTTAATACACAATACAAGAGTACTAGTTTAAAATTTAACTTAAAGTATGTTGATATTTTGTAATAAAATTCAGAAATTTCTTTCAAGACATCCTTAAATAATGAGTATTACGTGAGCAAAAAATGACGTATAAAGTTTAGTCCCCCCTTGATTTTCAGGATACCAGTACAAAATTAGCTCTTTTTGTCAAATATCATTTGCTTTTTTTTTTTAAATATTCTATTAGCTTTAGACAATACAAAAAGAGCAACAATAGAAAAATATAGTTATTTTACAGACATTGCCATTTGAGCTGTTACATACCATCCAGCATTCTTTGCACGAGCATTCATCATGTATGTCCAAAATGTGTATGCGTGTTCTTCTTTGGGATGCAGATGACGGAAGGAGTCAATGAACCCTTCCTTCAGGGTCTCAGTGAAACTGTTTCTTTCCTCATCAGTGAAGCCAGCATTTCTTACATTTCCCTTGGGATTCTTGATGTCTGTAGATTATTCAAGTTTTAATTTCAATATAAATGTCAATATTATGAGACAAAATAAGTAGACCTAAGTAACTCAATACACAGGTATGTAATTTTGTGTAAATAGAAGAAATATCCAGCTATCATGATAGCAAGCTTCTGATTATTTAAATAGTTTAGAGCAAAAAATGTTTATTTTAATTATATTTATTTATCTAATCTATTAATATTTAAAGTCACTAGCTAAAAAGAACTTCTGTTTGATTTATGTATTATAATATCATATAATATATAATAATTTCTTAATATCTAATTATAATTGCACAATTATATGAAAAATACAATTTGTTTTTATTCAATAAAACTTTTCAATTATTAGACATTAGAAATCGCTAAGGGTTGAGAAAGCTAGAAAATTATTAGTTTTTCTATTTAAATTATTTAATCAGAATGCTTTGGTGGGATCAAATGGCATTGGAAAATGACAATAATATAATATTGATAATTTGAAAGTGTGAAACTGAAATTTTTATTCATATATAGATTAAATAAATACATAATATTAAGAATATGACTATCCATTAAACGTTTTAAAAAAAAAAAGTTAGTTCTTTATTTGGTACTTCATAATAATTTTTATTAGAATAAAATGAGAAACTTCAGTTTGTGAAAAAGAATCAAAATCTTTCAAATGGATTTAATTAAGATATGTATTAATTTTTAAAAAATTATTTTACTTAAATTTATATCAGTATGCTAAAAGCCAATTTAAATTTTTACAATTATTTAAATATTATTAACTACATTATGTTAAACCTTATAAAAAATAAATATACTCCTTAATCTAAAGAAATCCTTAAAAAGATGGGGGGAAAAAAGAACATGACAAAAAGTTTAAAATCTGATTTAACTAAATAAAAAATTCCAATTTAAATTTTAAAAATACAATTTTAATTGATAACAATTGATTTTAAATACTATTAGCTATATTATGTAAAATCCTCATAAACAATATAATTCATTATCTTAAGAAATCCTTTTCAAAAAAGGAGAAAAAAAAATATCTCTAAATTTTAAAAATTCTATTTAAATTTAATTTTTTTACATTTAAATCAAATAAATATGATTTTTTTATTTTAAACCTTAATTCTTATTAACCTTGCTTACAATCCCTATAGATGCTTACATCTAAAACAAAAATACTTTCTATGCTTTTATTTAAAGAAACCCTACTTTTAAAGACTTACCTATTTCTTGATGAGCTACATTAAGATCTCCACACCATACAACTGGTTTTTTCTTATCCAAGGTCTTTAAATAGTTCCTGAAATCCACATCCCATTCTTCTGTTCGATAGTTCAACCTCACTAGCCCTCTGCTAGAATTTGGGATATCTGGAATTAGATACCAATGAAAATGCATTTTTCTAAATATCTAGAGCAATATTTTTTTTAAATGTATGTAACTAGCTTCCAAATTTTAAAAAATAATAATATTTGCAACCCTATTATATGTTAGAGCGAGGATTGAAATGCTAACTTAGTATGGCAAAAGTGTTATTTTCCATTTGATTCAAATAGATGATCAGAAAAATACTAAAGATACTAGAACCTTGATAGACAATTATATATTATCCTCCTACACTGCATTTTAGCTTAAGAGTTCACTTAAAATAATTGCAAGAAAAGTTACATAGAGATTTCAGTTAATAATGAAATAGTTTAACACAACTTACAAGTGTTGACCAAATAAAACTTTTCAAACTCTGCAGTTATGACTCTTCCTTCCTTGTCATGTTTTTCGATGCCTTCATGTTTTTTTAATAGTCAGAGGGATCAGAATTAAATAAAATGTTTTAAACAAAAAGTAAAAATTCCAGCAACAAATGAGTCCTTAACACTTTGTATCCACATGAAGCCAAGTGGCAGAGACCAATGTTAACCTTTTTATCCATATATCGCTAAAATACAACAGATTTTCGTCAATTTGGGTTTTTTAACACTGAAATGAAACAGTCATAATTCCTCTGTTAATTATGATAACTGTAGTAATAAAGATTCATGTGTTTAAATTAAATTAAGTCTGACAGGACAAAGTTATTGTGGTTACTGTGCTTATCACCTTAGATTTTACCGTAGTGGTGGGAAGTCAAGTGTATTAATGAGTTGTTGTTTTTTTCCACTCCATATGTTACTAGGATACAAAGTGTTAAGCAACTAGTCTTTAGGTGTTGGGGGAGGGGGGTGCGTGTGTCTATATATAAAAATAAATGAACAATTTGCCAGCAGAAATTATTTTAACATATTTAAAACCCACAATACAATTTATCACTTTGTTTCCAAATGTTAACCCTCTCACACAATGTCCCTGGCTCTATAAACTCATTTTTTAAGCAATAAATCTATTATTTAAAACTCTCACCAATTCCTTCAGTTACACTGAGGGGCTTGGTCTTGAAATACATTCCTACACCGGAGTAACCATCCTTATCTCCAGAGAGCCAATGATTTGTGTAGCCTTCAAGCTTTGCATCTTCAGGGATCTTTGAAATGTCGCATTTGGTCTCTTGCACACAAAAAACATCAGGCTGTTCAGCTTTCACATAATCCAAACCATCTTTCTATGTGTGGTGCAAAAGCAAAAAGGATTTGAGATAACATAAAAAGGACACCTTAACACAAATGATAGATATTTAATTACCGGTATATTTATTAATTGAGTCTGTAATAAGCAAAAGGTCAAAGTCACACAATTTTACACCACAGATACTGACCTCAAGCCAAGCCCTCAATCCATTAAGATTCCATGAGGCAATCTTGAAATTGGCCTCTTTTCCATTAGGTGCTTTAGCAGTTGTTGAGTAATCCAAGCCCACTAGACAGTCTACAATAGAGTTTTTTGCTCTCTGCTTTTCCTTGGGCTCCCCTGAGCCATCTCCTGCTTCTGCCTTCCTCTTCGGCCATCCCCACCCACCCCTTTTTTTGGCTGGTGCCTCTTTCTGGTGACAAAAAAATATATTAATCAGACATTTGTTTTTGAAAACGGAGAATCAAATTTATTTGTGAGTACATATTTCCCAATGCACAGATCTGGCTTGTTGGGGTACACTAGATGGGAACTTGGGAATCTATTTTTTTGGTGCTTTTTTTATGGCATTCATGCAATGTCTTTATGCAAACTAGTCCATACTTTCTATCCTGTGCATGTGAACATGGTAATTATTGGTTTAGTAATATGACAAGGACTAACCTGTTCGGCTTTTGCTTTTTCCTCTTTCTTGTCATCATCTGATGGTGTTTCCTTTTCATCTATTTCTATTTTTTCCTAAACAAATTTTTAAAATTTTTAAAGTACTTGTACTTTTGGTCCCTGTCCATCCAATAATTTAACAATTACCCAAAATAAAAGACAGCAAATTTTTTTACATTGCTAACAATGTACTGTATTTGCAGGCATATAGGACAGACTTTTTTCACCTCAAAATATGCCTAAAATAAGGGGTGAGTCCAATAAGGCACTGCATCCCATATTCCAGCAAATAGAGAACGCATTATGCCATATTATATTAAATCATTGTGTTTGCCAAATAAACTTATTAATGGTGAAAGGTGTAAATATACAATGGGAAAATAGACATTATGCTAGCAGTCGTGGACTGGAGTGTCCAAATGACCCAGTACAAAAATCAGTAAGCAGAGATTTAATATGCATGTTTAATTGTAATAGAGTGGTTGCCCAGGCGGCCAAAATATCACAGACCATGGTGGGCCACTGGGAATTTCTCTGTTGTATTGTCCCCCCACCCCACTCTTTGCTAGACAGTGCCATTAAGACACACACACATATATATATATATATATATATATATATATATATATATATATATATATATATATATATATATATATATAGATATATATATATATATATATATATATATATATATATATATATATATATATATATATATATATATATATATATATATATATATATATATATATATATATATATATATATATATATACACACATCTTCATTTCTGAATCTAGCTAACAAGGAAATGTCCAATTAAAATATTTCAATTTATCAGAATTAATTTCAAACTCACGAATCAACAATTGTATGGCCCGGTGTAATCTTTCTCTGACATGTATTGCTTACAACCCACTCCGATGTAAGCATTCTTCTTTCTCTTTCATGCATTGCTTACCAACGCATTCCGGTGTAAGCATTCTTCTTAAACTTTTATGCATTGCTTACCAAGCATTTCGGTGTTTAAAAAAAATAAAATTAATCCCACTCGGCAGGATATGTCTAAAAATAGAATACTGCCGCCAGTGGCTCCACCCGGAAACTCACACGCTGACCAGTGGAGCCGCGCGGTACGCATGACTGGAATGTGGCGACAGGTGGCAGCTGAACGTGTGACCTGCAGTCTGGGCTACAGGTCATTTCTTCATGAGTACATTTTCACGTGACCACAGAGTGTTTCCATCTTCGGACGGTCTGAGTCGCCTGCGTGTTGTCTAAGTTACACGAGTCACCAAGTTTATAGTGAGTCAAACACATCACCAAGTTTATAGTGAGTCAAACACTAGGGGTGTGCCGGACCCCGATCCGGAATCCGGTTCCGCCGGATTTTGCACTATCCGGTGAAATCCGGTTCCGCCGGATTTACATGTATCCGGAACAACCGGATTCCGGAATCCGGAATATACCGGATTTCGGAATTTGCCAGATTTTTATATATATATATATATATATATATATAGAGAGAGATATAGAGAGATTTATATATATAGATAGATATATATATATATATATATATATATATATATATATATATATATATATATATATATATATATATATATACACACACACAATATATTTTATGTACTAATGACACCTTTCTAAAACAAAGTTTTACCTTTGTTATTTAACGCCTTTAAAATGCCAGATTTATAAAATAATAACAAATAAGAACTAAAATATGTTTTAATTCATTTTTTTTTAATAAAAAAGTGTGTTGGGGTAATACAATAAGAACTTAAAGTTTTCTATATTTCTTCTTACTTCTTTCTTTTCTGCATCTTTCTTCTCATCAGCTTTCTTGCCATTTTCAGTTTTAGAATCTTTGGGTTCAGCTTTTGCTGTACGCTTTTTCTGTAAAAATAGAATAATATCTAAGCTAAATGAACCCATTAGATAACAAAGTAGAGATGCTGGGCACTGCTGGTTAAAAGAAGGATGTTTTCAGTAATTCAATTAGTTTTCATTTTTTTTATTATTGTTTATCAAATTTTTTATGATTAATTAATATGGTGACTTAAATATGACAATGTGCTAATAGTAAATAATATAATTTTAAATTTGGAGAAAAAATGAAATTATTTAACCTTTTGATAAATAAATTAGTTTTAATTATCAGATAATTATCCTTCAATTTTACTTCAGTTTGCAAATGTTTCACTTACCCCTTTAGGTGGCATTGTGGCAATATGAGTTACTGAATGTAATTTAAACCAGTTCTGTTGGGAAAAAAATTGAAAATATGTTGTGAAAAAATAGATTGTTTTGATGATTGCCTAGGACTAGAAAATTAGACTTATAGTCTTACAGGCCTATTATATTAATGGAAATTATTTTTTTTATTTGACATAATTACTGGTGAAAATTAGAATTAACTGAACCCTTACTTATTTGGCCTTATTGGGCATCCTAATGCAGGATTAGGTAGGCCTAACTGACTAACATTATTAGTATTGGCATTGGGAAATAAACAATAACAGTAAAATAAACACAACTTCAAAAATTCCTAAATTAAATCACCAAGACAAAGAGGTAACATTTAAACATTGATTGCCTTTTTTAAAATAAACTTAAAGTGGTTAAAGGTCATGAACGTAGCCCTTTTTTTTAGCCTATAGCAGGCCTGCACAACTCAACATGTAAGCCGGGCCGTAATACTTTATGAAAAACTTGTGCTGGTCGAAAGAAAATAGGACAGGGGTGAAAGCTATTAAAAAAATAATAATAAAGAATATTTAGTTATTTCGAAGGCTGCAAAGTGGGTGCTAGCGTGCTTGTTGTGAAGGCCTGGCCTATACTATTAAGAATGAATACTGACATTTTTAATATAATTTATATTATAGTATAAAGCAACACAAAAAATATAATTAATCATTAATTATATTTCAAAATATGGTAGCCCAGGCCCAGGCAAGAAGTTCCCAAAGTCAAAGTGGCACCTGGTGAGGTGCAACTAATGAGCTGCAGCTCACACTCACAGAACACTGGGGTCGGGCACCGTGAAATATTACAAATTTTATCATTTGATTTCTATCAAAATCAAAGTCAATTTGAATAATCTGGGGAAGGAAATGGCCCAAATGGGTTAAACTTAATAAGAGTAGCTGTGTCCATTTTGATGTCAAGATTCGACAAAATTTGTTGTGATAAACAGGCTCAACCGTGCCAATAAAATTACATTTTTTGTGTTCTAAAATATGCCTCTCACTCTGTTTCATTTACTTTTGTACTTTTGTCTTTTAAAAAGACTCTACTTTTTATTTTACTACTCAAATTTGGACATTTTAATTTTAGGGAAAAGGGAATTGTGAACAAACTAACTAAAAAGACCTGGTCCAGAACAATAAGAATAGTAATAGGCTTTAAATAGGTAGCCTATCTGAACTATCTCAATCTCACTGACGCTCAATTCTCAAACTAGAATATTATAGTATTATATTTTAAATGAAGAAGTACAGCAAAAACTTGAACCTCTTCAATTTGCTTACACACCTGCCAGAAGTACAGAGGATGCTATCTTACTATTGTTGGAGAGACTTTACCATCAACTAAACCTAGACAGTCCTAAAAAATATGACAGAGTCAGAGTGCTAATCTTAGACTTCTCATCATCATTTAACACTATCCAACAATATGTCAAGGTAAATGACCAATTATTTCTAACCAGAGAAATAAGCACTGGGGCGCCACGAGGCTGCGTTCTCTCCCCTGTATTGTATACCATTATATACCAATGATATTCAAAACTCAAGCGACACCGTTCAAATCTTAAAATTTGCTGATGATACCCACCACCTTAGGTGTCAACATAATAAACTAACATGGCCTGAGCACGGCCAAATGCTTTATAAGAAATACAACCAAAGACTGTTCTACCTCAAAAAACTGTACTGTACAATTTTGGCGTAAACAAACAAGTCGTTAACTTGTTCTACAGTGCAAAATTTGGAAGCCTGCTTAATTTCAGTATTACCTACTGGTGTGGGAATTCAACATCTGATATTAAACACAGCATAAACCGAATAATCAAGAAAGCAAGGAATAGGAACATAAATAACACAAACTAACCATCCTTCGCCTTCACTTGAAGAACTATTTGAAGAAAGATGTTATTGTAAAACTAAACACATTTTGGATGATACATCCCACCCTCTGCCTCTTCATCACAGATAGCCCACTTAATCTGCCCGTTCGGGACGAATTCTTTCTATCAGGGCCAGGACTGAAAGATATAAAAATTCTTTTTTTCCCCAATCAGTACGAATTTACCAACGTGCTCCCCCTGAAGTCACAAATCTTAATGAGAACTACTATGTCCCTGTTATGGCTAAGAGAACTTAGTCAATAGCTGGTTTTTTGGTTGTGTTTTTACTAGTGAAATAATTTATTAATATAAATGTCTCGTGTCCAAAATGCAGAGGCAGAAGCAAACATTTCCATTTATTAATAGTATGAATCAATTAAAATTAAAGAATCTTATCTTAATATATAATATAGTTTATATATTTATATTAAAAAATGGCCCTCATAATAATATTAATTACTACTTTATTTTAGCCTTGCCCTTAGGCAGGGGCCTTAGCCCTTCTGCCTCCTAGGCTTAGCAGCGGAAAAGCTGCTTGGTACCACCGATTATTCACTATGACTATAAAATCATATATCACAAATTCAATTTCAATACAATTACAATGATATGATGTGATAGAGTTAGAGTCACTTCTATTAACGCCGAATTAACGGACTATTAACTTACACCGTATTGAGTATTCCAAATAACTATTCTTTGAACGTTTTTTTTTACAAGCTGGTTAAATACACAATAGTAAGAGTAAGAAGATGCAGATGTCACAATGGAGTACCGCAAGATTACGCGGTTAATTTTTGCAAACAAAGCCAGAATTGGCTATTTCCTAAGGAAATGTACAAGCCAATACGTTATTTCATGTAATCGATTCTTATGATATCGTACAAAAAATTAAAAGCTGCTGTCTGAAACTGTCTCCCCCCCCCCCCCCTTTCTTTTCCCCCACACTTGTGACACGCCTCAGTAATGATTCACGTTTCAATTACAGCTTGCTACCCAAAAGAAACTAATAATTGCCATCTTAATTTAGGAGAGCAATACAAGCTGATTTAAATTATGGATCTCAATATAATATAAAGCGTTATTCACAACAGTGACAACAGTCAACCATAGCATTCTTTACTTTTGGAAAGGTTTGAAGCTCGAAAATATGTTACGAATATGTTGACAAGCACGGCCTACGAGATCCAGAGGGTCATGGGATATAGTACGGAGGAAGGGAGGGAGGCAAATACGCCATAAAAGGGGCGTTAGTATTATTTGTTTTATTTATATTTCCTTGTTTGCTTTGCTGGTTTTCTTTGGTTGTTTATGTTTGTTTATATATAAAATAAGACGCGAGTTTTAAGCTTTAGCATTTATACAAAATAAATTATTCTAAACGATTAAAGATTAGAAAATGTGTATTAATTTATAACTATTACCTTTTCGTAATTTCATATCATTTTAAACAAGAGAGACACATAAAAGTTTATTGAAAATATATTTCACTCTAACGCCGTTAATGAAAGGAGAAAACTCAGGGCTTGTCAGATAGTATCCGATAGTAGGCTATCTAAAGATACCCATGATGTGTGTGTTGACCAAGTAAACATAGTTTCCACTGGTGCACTATGTCAAAACCCCCTGTTTGCAAACACAGATACGTTCATTCAAAAATGTCAACAAACCCGTGACGTAATATGCGCTGTTTTGTGATTGAGCCTCCAACAGAGGGTGTTGGGTTAGGTGAGGAGGGGGCGTGATCATATTATAAAATATCAGCTCACAATTTTTTTTTTTTTAATAATTGGTAATCTGTCCCAGGTGTCGAGTCCTACAGGAACGTTATGGAAACTGCGGTGGTCCTGTACTTTATTTAAACTATGGAACACGATATAAATAGATCTATTTTGGGATTTGGGAGGAGGTGATTTTTTGGATTCGTTATCTCCCTTATCCCCGAGCAGAGCCGTTCTTAGGCATAGACAAACTAGGTGACCGCCTAGGGCCCCATGGCCAAATGGGGAGGGGGGGGGCACGCTGGGCGACTTTTTTTTTTTTTTAAACCTACAACTTGCAAGTCCATATATTTCAGAAGTACACATTTTCTCTAGTGGCGGAATGATCAATATGGTTAGTGGTTACACGAGGGCGAGGTGGATTATAAGTGCCAGTCCGCTGGGGCCCTACCAGGGTTTCTTTCAGCTATATGCCCCCCCCCCGGGAAAGCCAAGTGCCCCCTCCCGGAGCAAAAATATGTCTAACAATAAATCAACTGGAACTGCTGGCACT